ATAGTTTTGACATTAATTATTTGATATTTTATGAGATTTATAATCCTATAAATTTAAAATCCCTCATTATAACACTATTAGAAACGGTTACAATAAAAAAATTCAAACATTTTGATCAGTGGCGAAGCCAGGAATTGTCGTGCAAAGGGGCGAATACACTATCTCCACCGAATCAGTTGTAACTGGTAACACTAAATCCAATGTAAGAAGCTTATGCACTAATTTGTAGTCTTAGCACCTCTCAGTCTTCATATTATTTTTCTCTAATATATGGGAAATAATATTCACAGTGTCATTTTCTACCTTTCAATAATTCGTTTTTTGGGAACTTTAACAAAAATCTCTCGGTATTTGTTCATTTTAACGAAAAACTACATTTTTACACTAAAAAGTCAATCCTGGTACTATTCACCTTACCCTTTATTTTGTCCTTATCGTTAAAACTCAAAGTTTTCAAGCTCTTTTCATTAGTTTTCTTTTGTTTTTTTTCTAACATTTGCATTTGCGTTTGCATTCAATGAAGTAATAAAAATTAAGTGACATAAACAAGAGAATGAAGACAAAAAGAAAAAACAAAGGTTGTAAAAATTGTTGATGATGTTATCTTTTATGTGTGACTATGCTACTAGTTAATATATCAAATCTTTGATCGGGATCATTTTTATGATTGAGCATTATGGTGTAGTACCTAATGGGCCGGGTATTAGGTCCAGCGGCAGTTTTGATATCACAACAAATACAGTACCAATTTTGGCTAAAAAGTCAAAAGCAAAAGACGATCGTGTTTCCCTTGCAATATTAACGCCCTCATCTTCTGGTTTTCCTCCTAATCGGAGAAGATAGGCAACCAAATCTCCTTTGTAAGTCGTCGTTTTCAGGGCTTCAAATTCCTGCTCCTCAGAATTTGTGGTTTTCTGATTATTTCCTGGTGCTCTTCAAGCACAAAAGCAGCGATTGCAGAGGGGCGGATTCTTGTTCTCAGTGTTGAATTCCGACGACCGGAGGGGCGGCCGCCCCTCCTTGCTCTGCCGTAGCTTCGCCAGTGATTTTGATTGAATAAATGGATAAGTACATTAATAAAGAAGAATGGGTACATTAGAAATAAATTAGGGTACAAATAAAAGATTAAAATTTATGAATACGAATGAATTTTTAAAAATATAGGCGCTAAAAGAAATTAGTACATGGGTACAAAATAAAACTAAAAAGAAAATACAACAAATTTAAAAAAAAATGTTGCAAATTAAAAGTGGGTACAAACTAAAAATATAAATATATGATACAAAGTTTACGCATAAAACATAAATATACCATATGTAATTTTTCTATTATTGATTAAATATACAATGTCACGTGACGGTATACACATGGGTACAAACACAAATAAAACTTAAAAAAAATGGGCACAAAAAGAAACTAATATATGAGTACAAATTAAAAATGAAAAGAAAATTGGTACATATTAAAAAAAATTGCAAATTAAAAATAGGTACAAACTAAAAATAAAATTATATGATAAAAAAATTTAGCCATAAATATAAATATACTAATTGTAACATTTTTAACATTAAAGAAATATATTTAAAAATAAAATATTTTATTATTCAAATAATTAATGATGTTATTAATACCTAAGGACCTTGATCAAAAATTGATAATGAATAGGATTTTAATCAATGGAGTAACAAAAAGAAGGATGTGAACCTAATTATGTAGAAAGATACATCATAATATTAGTATATTGATACACGCACTACTATAATGTGTGTATATATATCACTGAATTAATAAGTGAACGAAATCAATTTTTTGAATACAACGATATACACACACTAACTATGACTTGGGGGGGGGGACAAATTGGTTGTGAACTTTTCATTCTCGAGATTCAAACCTAAGATATCTCACTTACAAGTGAAGAGAAAAATCATTAGACTGTAGTACTAAGCGATTATTTATTTATTCAATTAACTGAATAGGATATGTCTGAAGTTACATCCATAAAAAAAGTGGTAACTTCTCTTGGACAATTGTAATGAGTCGATATTGTCAAAGAATCAACATATATTTTACACAACATTGTGCTCAACAGTCTAAGGACATTGCTTAATCGATCATATCCTCCAAGTTTCACCGTTTCCATCACATGTAATCTATTTTGGGGGGACGTTAACGTAAGCTAGAGCTAAAAAAGGTGTATATATAGGAAGCCTTTAGGGTGCGTTTGGTACGTGGGACGGAACGGGACGAGGCGTTCCGTCCCGCGTTTGTTGCGCCAAAAATGGGTGGAACGCGCTGTTCCACGGGACAGATTTTGGATGTTTTTGCGTCCCACCTCCCCCCCCCTGAAACGGGTTTGTTTCACGTCTGTGGAACACAATGTTTTACCATTTTAAGACAAATATACCCCATGTCTTTTTCAAAAATTACACCTTCGTTCCGTCCCGTCCCGTCCTGTTCCGTCCCGTCTGCGTACCAAACGCACCTTAAGGAAAGGGATTCTCATATTATTTTTTTTGTAAAAATGAAGATTAGTTGTGGGGTCCACAATTTTAACGATCTGAATCATCTATTTTTCAAGTTGCACCTCATAGATCATTCTTGCAAAATATTAGCCAAATCAGAAATATTTAAAACATCTAATTGGGTTCAAAGAAATTAACGAATACTTTGTTATATAAGAAACAATAAATTGTTATCTTGATAATTAAATATGTAAATGGTTTTGGATTGAATTAAATTTTTGTAAGGATGATCTATGAATCGAGACTTACAAAATAGACGGTTCGGATCGTTGAAGTTTGATGTGGATTGGATCCCACACTTAATCCCTATCTTTTGAAAAAAATGAGAATCTCTTTGCATAAAGGGCTCGACTTCTAATTACAGAGACTTGACAAATTAAGCTGTTTTGATGGAAAATATTGATAACGACACATCAGCATGTAGAATGAGCATATAGCGAGAAGGTAGCCCCCCTCCCCCCTTCAGCGCCACCACATTGTGACGCTGTGACACTCCAGACATCCGTACTGTGTCTGTTTGTGCGAGTCATTTGTATTATTGCATGCAAATGAATTAACGTGCAACGCCAATTGCGAGGGGCTGTCTCGAGGTGGCTAAGCTTGAACCTCCATCGAGTACAAGTCGCGACGAGAAAGCACTGTCGTCATGCCAACCGACGCATCTGGATCCATCATATCTGTGATTCCGTGTCTGTGTGGGCTTTAGGGTTTTAAATTAATTAATTAAGTTTAACTGCATATCAAGGCTGGATGAGCAGTATGTACTAAGCTCTCTGTTTCTTGTTGCAAGTACTTTTCCATCCCCTTGATGTGGACGGCGAAGATGCTCTGCAAGTGGGAGCGGGATACCATTTTCTACTTCCCTCTTTTGTGGGGGTACAATAAACTCTTGCTCAGCATGGGAAATTGATATGTTTTTCTATTTAAATTCTGCAACGCCTGCAGTTGTACTAGATATGCATGCTGCTAAATAATTTGAACTTCGAAACTTTGCAATTTTAGTACTTTGGTCCTACATGGCGTGTCAAAATGTTGACTCAAAAATTACTCAGACTAAGTCGAAGCAATTTATAAGCTAACTATATCTTTTTGAGGATGATTGTTGATGTAGGCGTGCCAACTTGCTACTGGGGTTGGACGAGTAAAATGGATGCAGTGCATGGTATGGTGACGAACTGCGTTGTCGCTTTTTGCACTGAGCAATTTCGATCGAGGAAGAAACACTCTCAGCCTTGGGTTCTATAACTTGAAGACACATTTATGCCTTTTGCTAAGAAGGCCAATAACGGTTGGTGTTCAATGTCCCGAATATAGTGTAACTTGGATAACACCTCACTTTGTTGAGAAAGCTAATGAAGTGGCCTCTTACTGTAAAAGATTCAAAGACTTTTCGCTAAAAGAATCAAAGACTCTTCGCTGGCTTAAATTTAGGATAGATAACAAGTCAACCACGAAGTAAGTGTTGTTTAACCAAACTGAAGAAACTCCTAGACCAAAATTTAGGATAGATAACTAGTCGAACAAGAAGTAAGTGTTGTTTAACCAAACTGAAGAAACTCCTAGACCAAGCTAATTCTACGGCTCCAGTGATGTTCAACCGAATTAAATATGTTGTCGATTTGTCAACTTAGTGATGTTTAACCAATTGAATATGTGTTGGCAGGTCAGTAGAGCAATTAGTATTTTTCTCAAGGTATGAGAAGGTTTTATGTAGAGCGTTTGTTAGTGTGTTGAATTTCGTGATGATGAAGTCTGCCGAGTTGTAGAATTATGATAATATTCCAATTCTTCAGCATATTCTTCAAACATACAGAATTATCTTCACAATTTCCTTCATCAAAACTAATCACCACTGAGTTTCATTTGCATTAAGATTCTGAATCTAGTTAAGTGATAAATTCAACCGTTATCTAAAAATCCAATCCTAATCCTTTGATAAATGACTTGAACCTCATCGGAAACCGATCTTGATCTCAAGACAGTTCTACTTCATCCCGGACTTGGTCAAATGGAGGGTCAAGACTTGCAGTAACCTTTCTGGGCTGACTTCAATTCAGCCGAAAATCTGAATTTCAGGCCTAAACAATGTCATAACTTGTAACATGTATGTAAAGTAGGTATCCGATGATACCGTCACAATCACACCTTATATATTTGATTAATTATTCAGACTTTGATTAATACTACGATGAATAATTAAAGGATTCTAACAATTAGTGCCATGTTCATGAATGAAGCAAATAGACATTTCGGATCCCCAGCTCACAGGATTCTCTTCTTTTTGGAAATTCGTTATATACTTTCCAGAATCCTTAAAAACATTTATTCTTTCGTATACAATGAGCATGAATATGCAAAACCTATTGATACACTGTTGTTAATATTCTTTTCTTTCTGCATGCAAAAAGACCAAAATGCTTTAACGTCCCTTCACTTCACAACTTATATAAAACCAACTCCATTAACCAACACTTCTGTCCTGCTCACCAAAACCCTCCTCCCACGCATTCTTTTCTCCCAGAATATGTACAACTCCGACCGGTTGCCGATCCAGTACTCCACCACCCCAGAGCAACAACGGCCCATGAGGCGTCAACACACCGCCCGGTACTACGCCCACCGCGTCCGCGAAAGCCTCACCACCCGGGTCTCCAAGCTCATATGCACCATTTTCTTAAGCCTCCTCCTCATCCTTGGCATGATAACGTTCATACTATGGCTCAGCCTACGTCCCCACCGACCTAGATTTCACATCCATGCATTTTCAGTTCCGGGTTTGGGTCAAGAAACCGGGTTCGCAAATGCGGGGATAATGTTCAATGCCACGGCCCGTAACGCGAACCATAATATAGGTATATATTATGATTCGATGGACGCGACGGTGTATTATAGGGACCAACGGGTTGGGTCAATCACGGGTTTACTGGACCCGTTTTATCAGGGCCCAAAGAATACGACGATCGTGATGGGGTCGTTTCAGGGGGCCACCTTAACGGTGAATAACCAGCGTTGGATGGAGTTCACGAATGATCGTAAAAAAGGAACGGTCGTGTTTCGTCTAGAATTTACGGCTACGATTAGATTTAGGATCCACGCGTGGGATAGCAGGCGTCATCGGATGCACGCCAACTGTGATGTTGATGTGGGCCAGGACGGCTTGATCTTGCCCATTTCTAAAGATAGGAGATGCCCTGTGTATTTCACCTGAGTTGGGACATATTTTTTTTTTTTTAATTCGTTTATTTCATTTGTTGTGATTTATTTCATTTGTTGTGCAATCTTTCTACATTAATTGGTTCAAATTATTGAATTTGTGGTGCAAATCTTTTTAATGCAAGATGTTCTTGAAATTTGTACTGTTTCTTAATGTTCTAATAAAACCGTTATAGTTTTACTTTAAAAGAAATTGTGAAAACAAATTAAAACCTCAAAAATTGGTAGTGTAGTTAGCAATTTGCACAAACCTTTGCATTTAGACTTTTCACTTCTTCAAATGACACTTGTTTTTTGAGTAAAAATATGCCACGGATCACGCAAAGAGGTAAAAAAAGTCCAAATACAAAGATTGCTGACATTCTCTCACACTTTTCGACATGCTTTTCATGTTTTCTCGAATGTAAAAAACGAAAATAAATCTTTTGGACAGAAAAAAGTTGCAAAAATCTTCAACTTCTATCTCCAAATCATGCAAAACTTTTGTACTAAAAGATGATCATGTACAATATTTGTGCTAAACATATTGGCTTAGCAATAAACACTAATATGCGCTATTTGGATGCAAGAAAAGACATATTTTGTTTTCAAACTCATATATGTTACATATGATTTGTGCATCCTCAAAGCATAAACACTACCTTAATGAAGCTTACGATACCATTTGATTCGTCTTCAAATCGGATCCAAGGGAATTTAGGGGATAATCAAGATATTCAACAGAATCACGATCATAAAACGGGTCCGAATTGGGTAGACTCCTACACAAGTAAGGAATGAGAAGAGCTTACCCAAATCATGTTCCTTCTCCTCCAAGGATTCCAAGTTGCCTAATTTACAATTCCTGACCTACAGATGTATCAGACTTTATCCTTCAACGTCAAGAAGAAAAGAACATACCTCTTGTAACTTGGATTACAAGGACCCTCTGATACTCCTACTTTTCTCCTCCTCCATATGAATCCTCATATAAACAACTAGTGCAACCCAACTCATTTAAAACTTTGAAGTGAATCTAATCCTCAGACGGAGAAATGTGCGAAGCAAAGACTTTCAATTGCTGGGCTATGCAAGTTCTAGCTTTCTTGGGACTCCTAGCCCTCTGTTTATGGGTGGCCTTACGTCCAAAGGACCCTCAGTATACCATCGTGGATATTACCATCCCAGAATCTGATTTAGGGGGCGGGGGACACAATGGCTCTCTCACATATGACCTTCAAATTGAAAATCCTAACAAAGACTCTAGCATTTACTATGATGAGGCAGTTTTAACGTTCTTGTATGGGTCCGATAGTGTTGGGGAGAAACACATACCTGCTTTTCGGCAAGGAAAAGGTAAAACCCGTCAAGTGATTGATTATGTTGATGTCAACCCACGAGTTTGGAAAACTTTTCGCAATTCCATATTGAATGCAACTGCAGAATTGAAGGTGGCTTTACTAACTCGGGTTCAATATAAAACATGGGGAGTGAAGAGTAAGCATCATGGGCTTGATTTGCACGGTAAATTACCTATCGGTTCAGATGGTAAGATTTCTGGTAAGAAGAAGAAAGTTAAGCTAAGCCATGCTTCCAAGAAATGGAGAAGGAGCAATAGCCGACGATTACTAGGTTAGATGTTTTCTTGTAAATTTACAATATGGCTTGCCTTACTTTCATATTGTTGCTTGTAATTATATACTGGTAATTGTTCCAATTTTTATTGTAGTAGATCACACAATTCAACAATTTAGCAAATGACCTGCACAGTTGTAATGATACATACCTCTAATGCCCTTTTAGAGTCATAAATAACAACACAACAGTAGAATTAAGAACAAGTTCTTGACATATGCCTTAATATTAATAGGAGAGCTGGCGCAAACTGAACCAAAATTCTGCCCATAATTTCAGTTTCAATGTTTAATAACATAAGAGTGCACCTGATTTTCCTTTCTAATGATTCCCAGGGTTCCGCTGTTTTGATGTCCGACTGTAGTTTGTAACTTGTCTTCGCCATTGATGGGCTGGAACCTAAAACACAACCAGAATTATGTCGTTTATATATCCCAAACATCCAACAATCACCCACAGTTCCAGCTCCATTATTTTGGGTACACAATATATGAAAACAATTTTTCTTGTTACTCTCATTTTTCATAAGAAAAGTACAACATGATACTTACAGCAGGGAAGCCACCATAATCTCCAGGTTCTGTAATATCTTTCGTGACACAGCTCATACCAGCAAGCCGTACCTGCAAAGTCCATGTAATTATTTTCAGCAACATTTGTAATCAATGAAAAAATGTGAGAGCACAAAAAAGAATAAAATATCAGAAGAAAAACTAAAAAGGAAGTAACATCAAACTTCAAAACTCAAATGATATAAAAATCCTGTACCGCCTTCTTTAACAAGTGACAAGCAATGACTAATTTTGGCTACTATTAGATTGGGCCATTGTATGTAAGAAAATACCTTTGATACAATGGATACATGGTCACGAACTGCTACCCTCCCTCCCATAGTTACATAGTCTCCTATCCTACAATAGGAAAAAAAAGGACAGCGATCAGATTTGGTAGATCTTCTGAATCATCTGCTAAGTTGTTGAAGTGAAAGTGAATCAAGTTATGGTGGGCTTTCTAAATTAGAAAAATACAGAGGGGACATAAAAAGAACATACGTCACTGAGCCTGCAATCCCAACTAGTCCACAAAGTATGCAATTCTTCCCAATAACTACATTATGGCCAATCTACAAGAAACAAGCAAATGGATAATTGTATACTATATTCCAGAAAATTACCAGAACTTAAAAAGCAAAAGTTAACCTGAACTAAATTGTCTATCTTTGAATGATCCCCTACAACGGTATCTCTCCAACTGCATAAACCAAACAATGTTATAAATTATTATTCAAACTTTAACAGAATCCAACTACAACATTATTCAGAAAAATACAACCATGCATCTGAAATCAGTTGATATCCAGGGCTCTATTTCTAACCTGCCCCTGTCAACGCACGTATTTGCACCAATCTCCACGTGGTTTCCAATCCTAGCATTCAGCATCTTGAGGATGAGGAAAAAAAAAAACAAGAAATACATACAATAAGATGCTTCAATTTCTACAGTTGGATGCAAATGCATAAATAACCTCTTATCGTCATACAAGTCACATATATGAAGACACTCTTGCCTCTATAATGCAATGCAACAAACTACTATGAAATTGAATATGTTGATCCTAAAGAACTAATGTATCGTGATTGCATTCAAACATTATCAGAGAAAAATATTCAAAAACACAGAGAAAGAGGAAGAAAACAAAAGGACTTCAATTCAAGTACATAAAAGCATCACTAACTTGAGGCTTCTTTAACATATTCCCATGCTCATCCACCATAAATCCGAATCCTGTAGTTAAACAAACATCCCACCAAACATCAGATTTTCCATCGCCACACATCAAACACTATTTACATCAAATCATAACTAAGCTGATTGATCCATATCAATATTCCCAAATGAGTCAAAGCCTACAAGAAGCGGCCCTACCATCTTGACCGATGCATACACCATTGTGGATTATGCACGAATCTCCTATGCTGCAATTACTAAGTGCAACATTGTAGCTGCAGAGATTATGACCGTGGTTACTCTATCAAAAATCAAGTAAGCGAAAAGATTAACAAGGCAATGTCAAGTTAAAAATTTGATCAGTACCCAATTTTTGTTGATTGCCCAACTGTAACCGAAGGTCCAATAACAGCTCCAGAACCAATACAAACATGTTCGCCGACAACGGATTTTGAATGAACAACAGCACCAAACTCTATGAAAACTGTTGGGTCAATGCAGGCAGACTTGTGGAAAAACCCGCCTCCGTTCTTCCATTGTCCGAAATCTGGATGACCAGTTGGAGCACCGTCCTCTGATCTTGAAATACAGAGCAAGTGCAGAAATGGCAGTTAGTGACAATATAGGTGTTGTCTAAGAGACATTTTCACAAGCAGGTTCGGGGCATACCAGAGGAAACCGAAGACACGAAGGAACGGTAACCATTTCCAAAGCGCAACGGAGACAAGCTTCGAAAGAATTGGAGATGTGGCCAGCAGTAGAATGCAGCTGCAAGTCTTCTGAGAGCGCTTGCCATTAACTGAGGTCCGAGGAGGGAAAGCACGCCTTGATGCCGGTTTGTATTTGAACCAGAGTATCCACCGTGTTTGACCGGAAGGGCTTTTGTAATGGAGGGCATTTTCGTCCGCCTAGATTTGGGTTGGACCAACATTAGGTCTTGGGCTTGAAAGCCCAAACCTAAAGATTATTATTATTTTTTTTTGGGAACTTTAATGAAAAACTCCGGTTACTTCACTTTAACGAAAAATCATATTTTTACACTAAAAAATCAATTATAATATTATTCACTTTACCTTTTATTTTGTCCTTATTGTTAAAATTCAAAATTTTCAAGCTATTTTCATTAGTTTTCCTTTATTTTTTGGGTTAGAAAGCAGATAAATTTCATAAAATAAAATCTTAACGAAAAATTATATAAGGATCAACATACAGAAATAAGACGTCACCTTTTTTTTGTTTTGTTTTGTTTTGTTTTTGTTTTTTTGAGAGCAACGGCAGTGATATTATAGATGCAAAAGAAGTCAGTTACATCAAGGGCCGGCAGTACAAAGTCGCCATCAATTATGTTCCAACGAGACAAAACTAGAATGAAATCGGGGGGCTCCTTAAACCAGGAGCAGGTGGCCGACTCATGTGAAGAGCATGGCGTGCTAGGAGGTGTGCAATGTTGTTTCCTTGGAGACGGGTATGGGTAACAAAAACACCAGTGAAGAGACCCCAATCACCAATCGAGATTGAAATGTGATCAGAAGGAGGAGGACAAAGGGGCGACGCCATCCACACAAATTTAGCAATTGCAAAGCATGGGAACTGCCGTCCGCCATGAGTAAAGGTTATTCTCTGTAGCAATTACAAATAGTACATAAAGGTAATAAACATGAGACGGTTTTAACCTACAAACATATCTTCCACAAGGGCTCAAATAGTAGAGGTCCAAAGGTGAAAACCAGAAACGGCCGACAATCCACACCCCAAGATTTGCACCACAAAATAACAATTATTCACCCTTACTTAGTACAAGTGTAAGTTGGATTGAAAATTTCGATTTCAACCAGTTCTGACCTAAGTTTAAGGTGAAAATTTTCAAATTTGTTGCAATTGAATGAAATTTGACATTCAAAATTCGGAAATAATTTGGATTGAAATTGGGAAGTATCTTAAAATTCTAATAGTTTACTGTATTTGAAACATATTAGGGTGCCAAACTAAAATTGTCCACAATGACTAACTTCATGATGAAATTAAATAAGATCTAATAACCACATAGTATGTTGTAAAAAATTCTTTCAAAATGTTGGGTGTATTTAAAAGCCGAACTATTTTTTAAATGTAAGCTACCAACTTTTCTGAAATTCAAAGTTTTTTCAATGAGGATAGATGTTGAATTTATGAATTTCTTTTACGACGGAATTGAATGAAAATGAATCTCATAATTTCAATTTGATTTGTATACATAAAGAGTAGGCTAGGCAATGAAGTTTAATTCTAGTTGTGTGGCCTATGGGACATGCTAATGTTATATGTACATAAATAAATAAAAACCCACAAAATCCAAAGCATATGTTACTATTATTTGATTGTTTGTGAAGTCTAAGTCGAAAATAGTACGTTTCAGAAAAACCTCCACAACCTGCTCAATTCATTGCCTTCAATGCTTCTCTTTCCAAGCTGTACAATACTTCCGCTGGAAATGAGCCAGATATAGTTTATGAACTTTAATGTGCCTCGATTATGTTACGAATACGTCACAACTGCCGCGCATTTAGACATTGTGAGGATTTGTCCCAACTGAACAGAATCAGTTGTGTGGGAGGAAACGTGCCAACTGCTCTACCCCGATGTGAAGTTCCAGGGTGAGTTCCATGTGGCAGACAAGATTGCCTTGGCTAACAAGAAAACTATTTCAGACCCAAAAAAGTTTGAGTATGTTGTGAAGGAGAATCTGGGTGAGCTTGTGAAGCTAGCGGCGTATAATGTTTCAGCAAAAATGTATGCTACTGGAGATGTACAATTTGAAGATAGAGTGATATATGCTCTTGTGCAGTGCACCAGAAATTTATCTGGAGATGACTGTGACAAATGCCTTCGGCACCATAGAAGACGTTTTGAGAGAGTTTTATTTCTCCATTGTTGCACGGCTTCTGCACCGGAGTTGCTAACTGAGATACGAGTTGTATGCCTTGTATAATGTTGCAACTGAAGCTTCTGTTTCTGGCTCTCCAAATAACAACACAGGTGTTGGTGAGCACTTTTAAAGTGTGTCTATTTTGACGCTACAACGTTATAAATTAACTGCAGATGCATGGTTGTTCAGGTAGAGGATGGTGGATCACAATCTTTACGGTTGTGTCAGCATGTCTAGCCATACTGTGCCTGCACTTGGGGCTCTTCCTCCTCCGCCTCCGCCTAAAGGTACTGATTGATTTTCTAATTCAAATCATGTTTAAATTACTAACATTCAAATTTGGCTGATGTTATTAGCAGAAATAGTTATTGTTTACTCCTCTTAGCCTGATAATTGTGTTGGAAATAACGTCTGAGTAATTTTTTAATAAAGTTGAGATTTCATTATAAAACTAATTGACAATATGGAGAGTAGTCTAACCTCTTATAAATTTTTGCATGATTTTTCTTTTTATTGATGTGGTAACTCTTTTACCTTCACATCTCCATACGCTTGACAAATTTTCAAGCCAAAAACGTGGAGAACACGAATTGGGTGATGTGGAGCACGTATGACCCTTAGACTTCACACATGGGTCAACCTGCTCCAATGTAAAACTCTTTTACCTTCACATCCTCACAATTTTTTGGTGCACCTGGAACATGGTCACTCATTGTTATTATCTCACTCAAAATATAAACTTACATATTTATTTTTATTTATTTCTTAACATACCTAAAAGTGAGACATATCATTCATATTATGCAGATACATACCTACTTTACCTTCAAAACGTGACATCATTACCGGCACCCGCACTTAAGGGCTCCTCGTCCTCCTCCTCCTCCTCCTCCTCATCCACCTACCATTTGATTTTATAATTCAAATCATATTTAAAGTTCCAAATCCAAAGAATCAATTTCTAAGACGCTGCGTCAAAATTGATGGAAACGCCGGATAGGATAAAAACCGAACTGCAGCCCTACCCCACCAAAGCACGGCCTGCTTTTCACTTTCCTAAAAAATTGTGACTATTCACACTGACCGACATTGATGCTTAATCGCACTGTAATTAGCACATACATTTCGGAAAGGTATACTTTCCGAATTCCTTCATTTTAATTCAAAATTTGAGAATTCTGAGTATTGAAATTTGATCAAACAGTTATAAATAAAGATTTATTTTAAAAATTATAATAAATTTAATCGTTGAATCAAATTTTAGTAATTCGGATTGATGAATTTAATGAATTAGGAGGAGGAAATCCGAATCCCTTTCATGCATTTCGATGCATCCGGAAGCCAAAGCTAATCTTGTGCTACGTTTGACTTTGTTGCTCCCCTTGCATGTTTTCTCATGAATCACACAGTATGGTTGACTCGAGGGTCAGCGAGCCATGCCTGCAAATCTGCAATTGCCATCTAATTACCTCAAATAATCACTAATTGTTAAACTTAAAAATATATGATCAACATCTGGAATTAAGAGAAGGGGGAGACGACGAGGAATATGTCTACGATCCTTTTTCTGTTTCTCATGAGTTTGATCACTAGTAGTGACAGTAGGGAAGCACTTTGTTGGTCCGTCGCCTGCCCAGACAATACCACTTCCACCCTCGCCGAAGCAGTCGAATCGAACCCCGATAGCTACCCATATAATCTCGTTCAGCTTCTCCAATCCCTTTCCTTGAACGCCACACATACTGACACCGGCTTTTACACTACCACCGCTGGCCGAAGCACAACTGAACAGGCCTATGGGATGTTTCTATGTCGCGGTGATGTCTCTACCGACGTTTGCAGAGAGTGCATGACCTTCGCAAACCTGGAGGCAGTACAACTCTGCCTTGATGGAACAGATGCTATGATATGGAACGACGAGTGCATGGTACGCTACTCAAATAAGAAATTAGTTTTCTCCATGAACGAGTCGTCTTCCCATGGCCAATTCTACGGGTCTACTGAAAAAGAACCAAGCGGATATAGCCAGGTATTGGCAACTAGTGTGCATGAGCTAACCACTGAGGCTGCCAATAACAGCAAGTACTTTGCAACCAAAGAAGCCAAAGTTAAAGGGTCAAATGAGACGGTGTACAGCCTTGCGCAGTGCACGCAAGACATCTCCGCTTCAAATTGCAAACGGTGTCTAGCAAGAGCTGCAGAAAAAATATTAGTTCAATCCGAATTCCGAGGGAGACAAGTCCTATATCCCAGTTGTAGTATTCGGTTGGATAATACCCTCTTTTACGCCATCAATTGGACCCACGCACAGCATCCTCCCACGCCAGAGGCTCTTCCTCCTCCGAGTACTCTACTACCAAATTTGCGATTACCTATAGGTAAAGTACCTTGTGCACGTAAAAAAGATTTACGCCATCAGTTGTAGTGTTTAATGATAAGAATACTAATAACAGTTCTCCCGTTAATTCATTTTTTTTTATATTTTTAAATCAAGATTTAGATATACATAGGACCTATGATCTTATCGGCCATTAGATAGATAATTAGTGGATAAGAAAAAGTATATTATAAAGGGGAAGAATACAGTATTCAGAAAACAAACATGACATATTAATTGTTTTTGTTTTGATGAATGAAGAAGAAGAAAGGTATGAGAAAACTATCATTTGTATTTTTCCATGTTCAACTAACTAAATTAATCGATGGAAATTGCGAGTTTAAAAGTACAAAAAGAGCTTTATGACAAGAAAATTCAATATTGTTCTTACTGCAGGGAGAAAGAAACACTTCTCTATAACTATCATTGTTCTCGTGAGTGTTGTCATTTCTCTTCTAGTTGTCTCTCTGGTCCTTGTAGCATTGGGCTACTGCCTCCCGGGCAGAAGAGAAAGAAAGAAGAACGATGAGGCTCTACAACAAGAAAATGGCAAACGGCAAGGTAAGGGAAAACAAATGAAACCCAAAAGTTAGAACTGAAAATTTTGAATTTATTTTGATGTGTCTGGCATATGATCATAACCTTCTTTGCAATGCAAAAGATATGAGGACGGCTGAGTCCTTGCAATTTGATTTGGGAACTCTCGAAACTGCCACAAATAAGTTTTCCGAAGATAACAAGTTAGGCGAAGGTGGATTCGGTGCAGTTTTTAAGGTAATAACCCAACAAATATATAATGCATTAGTTCATGAGTCATTCTACTAATACAACATTGTATAGTATATATAAATTGCTTAGATCACAACAAAATTGTTGGATAAACTAAAGTACCTATATATCTTATCACAGGGAATGCTTATTAATGGACAAGAAATAGCAGTAAAGAGGTTGTCAAAAAGCTCCGGACAAGGTGTACAAGAATTTAAGAATGAGGTTGTATTGGTAGCCAAGCTTCAACACAGAAATCTTGTCAGGCTTTTAGGTTTTTGCTTGGAAGGAGAAGAAACCTTACTTGTTTATGAATGTGTGCCCAACAAAAGCCTTGATTATTTTCTATTTGGTATGTGAACATCATTTGATGAATATACATATATGTTTGTGTCAGTAAATATAATACTTTGTAGTTCCTAACTTCATAAAGTACTACTTGAACTTGATAAATTTACAGAACATAAAAAACGAGAACAACTAGATTGGTTGAGCCGCACCATGATAATCGGAGGAATTGCTCGAGGAATTTTGTATCTCCATGAAGATTCGAGGCTTAGAGTTATACATCGTGATTTGAAAGTTAGCAACATTTTATTAGACAACAATATGAACCCGAAAATATCAGATTTTGGGATGGCTAGAATGTTTGGAGTTGATGATCAAACTGAAGGAAATACCAAAAGAATTGTTGGCACTTAGTAAGTTTCAACTTATATAAATACATCTTCCAATTATTTGTTTCAACTTATGTACTTACCTCTATCTATAAATAGATAACAGAATAGTATATGTTTGTTATTTAAACTCTTATATATGTCAACCATTTTGGTCCTGCAATTAGTGGTTACATGGCTCCAGAATATGCTATGGAAGGATTGTATTCAGTAAAATCGGATGTCTTCAGCTTCGGAGTACTTCTGCTTGAGATCATAACGGGGAGAAGGAACTTTTTAGGCTTTCATCGCACTAATTGTGGGCCTACTCTTATAGGTTATGTAAGTTCTTTACTTGGAATACTTATACAAAATATTCGTGAGCTTAATTAATGTAGCTATCAAAACTGGAGGAGGACTTACATCCTTGAGAGATATTGATTGCAGGCTTGGCAATTATGGAATGAAACGAAAGGTTTGGAGTTGATGGATCCCTTGTTATAAGATTCATGCAGTCCAAATGAATTTTTGAGGTACATCCACATTGGATTATTGTGTGTTCAAGAGGATGCAAACAACAGGCCGACCATGTCATCAGTTGTTCATATGTTAAAAACTGAAACTATTTGTCTTTCCAGACCTGAGAAACCAGCCTTCTTTACAGGGAGATATGTTGATCACCATGATCAAGTGCGAGCTCAAGATTGCTCAGCCAATGGTTTGACGATTTCTATCGATGTTCCTCGTTGAGACCGATGACAATAAGGTTAATATCATTGGAAGCACTTCCGTTAAAGGCACTTTACTGCACTAGAGACAATTCTATAATCTTTACAGCTTTTCTTTCACCTTGTCATTTTTATAGGGTAAATGTTAGTTACCATGCACTCCCTAATCTCGAATCTCCAGAATTTTTAATAACATATACTGTATATTACTACCAGTATGACTTGAGTGATGTTATATTACATACTTATATGTTTCAAGTTAATTAGAATATTGGTCCTATAACTTGTTACAATCTGTAACAATGATCATTTTTTGTAACTCTATTAATTCCGTTCATATTGTCCTCTTTAACCTTTTATTTTGGAGAATAATTCCGTCCATATTTTCTCCTTTAAGCCCTTTATTTTGGAGGGTATTATAAAACAGTGTTTACTCAAAAGAACCATTGCTACATTGTGGCCCATTTAGGGATCGATGTTCTAATTTTCTGGTATCTTTATGTAGGATTAATTATACAAACTTTAGGTTTCCCAAAAAAAAAAAAAATTATACAAACTTTAATTAATACTAGGATAAATAATAAAAAGAATTTTAATAACTAGTACGCCTTCAACAGCTCAGCTCAGCTACATCTCACTCCCTCTCGTTCTCTCTCTATTGTCGGAATTCCGGATGACCAGTTGGAGGACAGTCCTCTGATCTTGAAATACAGAGCAAGTGCAGAAATGGCAGTTAATGACAAAATAGGTGCTGTCTAAGAGACATTTTCACAAGCAGGTTCGGGGCATACCAGACAAAGCCGAAGACACGAAGGAACGGTGACTATTTCCAAAGCGCAACGGAGACAAGCTTCGGACGAATTGGAGATGTGACGGGTAGCAGAATGCAGCTGCAAGTCTTCTAAGAGCGCTTGCCATTAACTGAGGTCCGAGGAGGGAAAGCGCGCACTGCTGCCCGTTTATTTTTTTATTTTTTTGAAAACTTGCTGCCCGTTTATTTTGAACCGAAATATCCACCGTGTTTGACCGTAAGGGCTTTTGTAAAGGAGGGCAGTTTTGTCGGTCTAGATTTGCGATTTGCGTTGGACCAACATTAGGTGATGGGTTCTACATGAGTCTTCTCGAACTTAAAAAGGTAGATTACAATAGTTTGTTACGTTGTCTTCCTTTAAAAAAAAAAAAACATGAACATTGAGTGTTGGCCTTAAAATCCAAGCCAATAGAAACTAATGAAAAGAGTTTAAAAACTTTGGGTTTTAATGATAATGACAAAATAAAGGGTAAAGTAAATAGTATCATGTTTGACTTTTTAGTGTAAAAATGTGATTTTTCGTTAGAATGAACAGTACCGCGGGTTTTTCGTTAAAACTCCCTTATTTAAAACAAGTGCAAGATGGATTTCTAGATTGAAAATTTCGATTTTAACCGTTATTGGCCTTGAAAGTCCAAGCCAATAGATTATTTAAAACAAGTGCAAGATGGATTGGAAATTTCGATTTTAACCGGTGTTGGCCTTGAAAGTCCAAGCCAACAGATTATTTAAAACAAGTGTAAGATGGATTGGAAATTTCGATTTTAACCACTTCTGACCAAAGCTCCAGGTGAAAATTTTCAACTTTGATGCAATCGAATGGTATTTGACCTTCATAATTCGGACATAATTTGGATCGGGATTGGGAAGTATCTTAAAATTCTAATTATTTATGATATCTGAAATATATTGGGGTATTCATGAATCACACAGTATGCTTGACTCTGGGGTCAAAGAGCCAATGTCAAGTCGTGCTTGCAATTTCCATCTAATTACCTGAAATAATCACTAATTATTAACCTTAGCAATATTGTGTACATTCCTAATTAAGAGCAAGAGCCGGGGGGAGATGATGAGGAATATACAGTGAAGCAGCGCTGTTCGTTACTTTGTCCATTACAATTTCGCATCAACTCAATTGGCTCATCCAATTCTCAGTTGTTACAGTTTACCTCTTCATATGGGATTTAGGGCGCTCGACAACTTGCGAGAACGAACGTATATATCCAGGAGAGCTGCCATTAAACTATCACCAAACTTAACAAGAGTGTATCACTCCTAAGTTCATCGCTTTATACCCCAGACAGTTCGTTATACGTACCAAACTTGACATTCTTTATTCCTTGTTTATGATATAAAAATCAACGTCATGTTCCACAAGTATCATGTATCCATGTCTTACATTTGATAACAAACATCAAATAGACGCTGGGCAGCCAATGATTCACATGATATAATGTAGTCTTCAAACTATCTTCCTCAGTCCAACTTGGTTTAACTACTTGCCTAGACACGCTTCTTGGGATAATAGCTAACTTGACCATCTTAGATAAATGTGCAAAAGTAGCGATCATCAAATCTCATCTTTTTGATGTAAGCTTTAATCCAAAGGGTATTAAGGGTAGGATCACATAGATTCAGTAGGTCACATAGTGACTTGAAGCAGAGATCAATTCGTCACTCTCACTATCAGCCGCAACTAGCACATACAGTATGAAATGTATGCTATGGTATGTTCTCAATTTAATGAGCGTGTCACATGTTCATTGGACATACACCATATTGATCTTAGTCTAAGCGCTACACAAACGTTTAACTTGAGCATCTAGCCTAGTCTCCCTTTCGACGCCCACCTAGTTACTCACGTTCGGCTTGACAAGTTTTAATATGGATTTCAAATGAAAAAATCTCCATGTTCGACCTTTGATAGGTCTCATCTTAGACATTCTAAAGCGACATACATGCATATCTAGTATATGCTTTGTAAGTGAAACCGTACAAGTGTTTAGTCTCGCACTCCATTGCTGGATAACATTCGAAAACCTAACTCTAACAGCATGAAAAATAGCTCGCAAAACTAAAATAAAATCACTTTTTTTTTTTTCAAACTTTTTGCTGAAATCCCAGATTTCAAAAATTTACGTAGGCAGTAGCAAAGCCATTTCTTCTTCTATACTCATCCAAATGACGTGTATTTTATATGGTCTTGAAGCTCAAATAGAAAACCACAAGCCCCATGCAAAACGTACAGAAAATATCAACACCATGTACCCTAAATTCAGCCCCCCAAAGGGCTGAAAATAAGCTAAAATTTTCAAGAAATCACAAAACTAGGGTTTGTGATTTCTGTCAAACTGTGGCACGTCATTGCATAAAATTTTGAGAGTATGAGTCTCACACATTGGAGAACTTATTTCTCAAAAGAAATCCTCAAAAAACACGATAAATCAAAATGTGATTTTTCCGGGTTTATGCAATCATGGTGGATATCATGGTTTCCGCTACTTACATCGGATTGTAAGGCGAGGAACAAGCCCTATGGCTCTGATACCACCGTTGGATATATACAAGTAATCTAAAGGAATTTGATTAGGATTATACCTAGAGGAATTAACGAATTCTGGATTGCCGTCTCGTTTCTACAAACCGTTACAAGAACCACAAACAAGATTCACCAAAGGAAGGATTCGGTTGCATCTAGCCTGGCTTGATTTCCTACGTAGTTTGTGCCAATGCACAAGGTTCAAACCGTTGTAATTCTTAGTAGCTTTCTAAGTCTAGGGCCAAGGTGATACCCTAGAGGCTAAACTAAGAAAGAAAAAGATTATTGACCTCTCCTCTATAAAGCTAAGAGAAATGTTTCACTGGGTGTGTCTCCTCCTTTCCCTTAAGTTCTCGTTATATAGTGGTTAGGAAGGGATGAGAAAAAGATCAAAACGGTCGATGTGGGGCAAAAGACTCCAACAACAAAACACCCTAATTTGGATGGATTAATTATTGGTGATTGTTTGGGCCCAAAAATATTGGTTTGGGACGAGTTTAGAATTGTTCTCGGCTCAGAGGCCGTGCGTAGGAGTCGTCGGGAGGTTATCCGGCTCATGGGCCGCGTAGTCATGATTGACCGTATCCCATTAGGAATCTGGGGGATGCGGGTGAGTCATATTACGAGAAGGAGTCTTGATAGGATAAGAGGTTTAAGATTGAATGTGGCCTAATAACGGGTTGAGTTTAGAATCCTAGTAGGAGTAGGATTGGCCGAGATAAGGTTGGATCGGGGAAATGAGTTCTAATCCGAGAATAATTGGGATTCAATACAACACTACTAAAAATAGGGAGAGAGGACATCGAACAAAGCTCTCTTGAATTCAACACACAAACTCCCCTGCGCAAACCCTCGCTCTACGCGAAACCTCTCAACAACCTTGAGATTTTTGTTTTCCTTTTCACCAACACATCTTTAGTTTGGATAAACAACACTGTGAAGGCAACCGACGAACATCTTCAGTTTGGATAAACAACATTGTTGCTGTAGAATCAGCCGATCGTGAAACACCTTCAGTTTGGATAAACAGCACTGCGACAGGGCCGACTGGTTATCTATCCAAGTCTCGATCGAGAAGGATTTTCGACTCCTTATTGACAGAAGTTATCTCGTTAGCCTTTTCGGCGAAGCGAGGTGTTACGATTTATTAGGCTTGGTACATTGAACGTCGAGTTATTTATGATTGGTTATTCGCAAGTAGGCTTTAGAGTTCGGCATTCTGACGGCCGAACCACTTTCATAGTCAAGGCATATATTTTTTTTGAATAATTGTGTCCCTATACTCTGGTGTCGATTCGGCGTGCTTATACCCTTACGAATATAATCACTATGATCAAATCTGGTGCTGACAATTTGTTAACTTCGCAGAACTAGTAGCCTTGTCTTCAAGCTCTAGGACCCGAAGGCCGAGTGTTCATTCCTCGGCCGTAGTCGCAAGATCGAGAAGTCAGCAGCGCACCCAACGCAACATCAGCAAATTTTACTCCTCGGCCGAGCTTGACTGACGAGTTGGCACGCCCCGCAAACAACCGAATGACGTAGTTAGCTTATTAGTTACTCGGCATGCGCGCCACGTAGGCTTAGTAGTTTTTAGGGTCAACAGTGATTTATATTAATATACTATATAGATCCTACAATCATCAGTAATGAAACTGATGAATCCTACTCATTATTCTGAAATAATTTGGATCGAAACTATGACGTACCTTAAAATTTTAATAATTCCCAATATACGAAACATATTGGGGTTTTGAAGAAGAAGATATTTCACGAGAGAGGATGGGTGCAACTTGGATAGGAATATTTGATTCCGACCGATTGTGAGCAGAAGTATTTCAAAATATTCCGTCGGATACAAATCCAAAACCAAAATTCCAAAATCCAAGAAGGAAAAAAATTGGATAGGAATTGGAATTATTTAATATTCCGAATCTGATCTGAAATTCCAAAACATACATAACTCCATTACATACGAAAAAAATGAGTATTTGAGAACTAAAATCGGAGATGACATATCTTTTAGGGAAATTGCCAAAAATGACCTGTTTGTATCATACTTGACAAATCCCGAAACTACCGAGCACCGGTCAACGTTATACCGTCAAGGATCTAGAAGAGTTTCCCTCCAACTAGGAGGCCAATCACAGAGCGACACGTGTCGACATCAGAAGCCAATCATAGCGCGACACGTGTCAACATCGGAAGCCAATCACAACACAACACGTGTCAATGTTAGAACAAGGCTAGAAACTCTCTTTTATAAAAGGAGATCATTCTCCCACAATATTTCCTAATGTCATTTGTACTAAATCATTCACTAGTACTCACTAAAGGAGAGCTTGAACCTATGTACTTGTGTAAACCTTTCACAATTAATGAGAACTCCTCTACTCCGTGGACGTAGCCAATCTGGGTGAACCACGTACATCTTGTGTTTGCTTCCCTGTCTCTATCCATTTACATACTTATCCACACTAGTGACCGGAGCAATCTAGCGAAGGTCACAAACTTAACACTTTATGTTGTACCAAAGTCCTCACTAATTTTGTGCATCAACATGACCCATTTTCTTAATCTTAAGACTGAAATAGGACAAATCAGCCATGCACACCATGCACAAAAGTGAAATAATGAAAATACCCACATATAAAATGTAAAAATTCACAAGTGATGACGTCATTTTTCTGATTTCAAAGTGAGAGCTATGAGCTCTGGGTTTTTAGGTTGAGCTCAGATCTGTGAGCGTATCATGTGCATATCATGTGCAACTCGTGTGCATACAGTGTACAGTTTTCTAGAAAATGGAAGGCAAAGCCAAGAAATATTTGACTTCAGCCATTGAACATAGGAACTCACAAAATACAGGCAAAGCCAAGAAACTTTAAATCAAAACCCATAAACAAACCTTAAAAAATTTATTTCCCAAATATCGTAAAGAAACCCGCATCACTTGTTGTGGGCTTTGGCTCATGTTGATTCATCCAATCCCATCGCGCCTTGAAACTAAAAAGTTAAAAGAAATTGGCAAGAAGGTCATGAGTTTGGAAGTGCACTCTTCACCTGCGACATTCACAAGAGCTTTGGTGGATGAATTATTATTCATTACACAACAAGATTTTGGAATTTTGAGTTGGGAATTGTACTGCCATCCAAAAGTTAGATGCGATCTGAATCTTGGGTTACTAGTTCGAAAGGATAGGAGAGAGGGGACTGGTGAAAGGATAGCCATCGGTGAGAGAGAAAGGGTTACTGCCGGTAAAGTGGGTTGTTAAAGGGTGAGTGCATCGTTAGGGTTCTTCCGAGAGAGAGTAGAGAGAGAGAAATCAGAAAATGGGAGGAAATAACCCATTTATATAGGAAGGCAATTAGTCATTTTCAGTTGTAGAAAAAAATCTTCCTATTGTTTGTGCATGGCGTGTGCATACTCTGTGCATATTAAGTTTGTCCTATTTCAATCTTAAGATTAAGAAAATTGGTCATTTTTAGAAAATTTTCTATTTTTTATCTTGGTATAGATGAAGTCATACAACTCCCATAATTTTAAAATTTTAAAATTCTAAAATAATCCGATTCCGAAAATACCAAATTCAGAATGAGTTTATGAAAAGTTGAAATTCCGATTTCGAAATTGGAAATGATACGTGTTTCCAAAACTTTTTGGATAGGAATTGGACACATATTTTTGATCTAATCCGACAAAAAAATAAGGCCTAAGAGAGTGTTTTTTTTTTTTTTTTGGTAAACAGGCCTAAGAGTGTTTGTGGCAACTCAGATAGACAAAATGTTAGTTAACTGTATCTTTTCTTGCTTTCGTTCTTTGTTTTTTGTTAGAACTATAAATTTTGTATTTCTTTCCAACGCAGTTGATCACAACTCAAGAGTGTGATACTTTTCAACACTGGGAATTTAATCAACATCGTTGGTCACAACACAAGAGTGTGATGCTTTTCAACACAGGAACAACAGTGGGAAACTCTTCAACAGAGGGAATTTAATGACATATCTATCATAAAATCAATTAACAATATAAAATATACCTTAACCTCTTATAAGTTATTATAATGTTTATCTTTTCACCCGAGCGACTTTTTTATTTTGACATTTCTATGCATAAAAAGAGAAAACAAGAGCTAGCTAGGAAATTTTACTTTGTGGTCCCCCCTTGTACAACACCGCCGTTCACTTAGGGCCAACGACCAGGTGTCGTCTGAGTCAAAGACTTTTGCAATTTTCATCTTCACCGAAAGCATATATATAACGATTATCCGTCGTTGTTTTCGTAAATAGTAATATCGATATTTTCATAAAAAACTGATATTTAAAATCTTAATTAATCAAGAGCAAGGCGGGATGCTGATGAAGATGTCCATGATCCTTTTGTTGTTTGTCTCCATGCTTAGCTTGCTCAGTTTGATCACCAGTAATGAAACTGGTCAATTTCTAGCCATTAGCTGCCCAAATAACACAACCACTTTCACCTCCAACACTGGCTGGTACTTTCCCACCTTCCACGAGAGCTTCCAATCCAATCTCAACGAAGTCCTCAACACCCTTATCTCTCCCGCTGCCCCTGACACCGGCTTTTACAACACCACGGCGGGCTTAAATTCTACGGAAAAAGCCTACGGCCTCTTTCTCTGCCAAGGATATGTCTCTACCGACGTTTGCAAAGATTGCGTGACTGCTGCAAGCATAATGGCAGCACAACGCTGTGCCTACCGAATAAATGTAATTGTATGGTACGCCCACTGCATGCTACGCTACTCAAACGAGTCCTTATCCACCTTGTACGAATCGCCGTCCATCTCCGCGTGGAACGAGCAGAACGCAACCGAATGGAATCGGTTCAACCAGGTTCTGGGGAAAAGTATGAACGAGGTGGTCACCGAGGCTACTAATACTGCCAACAAGTTTGCAATGAAACAGGCAAATATTAGTAGGTTTCTTTCTGTGTACAGCGTCGCACAGTGCACATGGGATCTGTCTGAAGTGGATTGCAACCGGTGTTTAAAGCTTGCCGTCTCGAGATTGCGGAGCTGTTGTGAAGGAAGGAAAGGGGGACGAGTTTTGATGCCGAGCTGTAACGTTAGGTTTGAAATTTATCCCTTTTACCTCCAAAACGCCACCTCAGAACCGGCGCCTGCACCGAAGGCTCTTCCTCCTCCTGCACCTAAAGGTACCAATTGATTTTACTTAAAATATGACTTTAGTCTCTAAAACTTAATTTTCTCCACATAAAATACGACATAAGTTTTTTACTAAAATAAAACTCATTGACTAGATTCCACATCAACAAATTTATTAATTATATTTGACTTTACACATTTAAAATTTTTTGATGCCCAAAACACCCCTATTTGAATGTTTGATATAAACAATTAATTCATACAAATTGTAAGGGAGAATTAATGATTTTACAAAAAAAAATAATAATAAATTCATTGCATAATATATAATAACAATAAAACATGCCTAATAAATGTAGTAATACATGCTTAGTTAAGTCAATAAAATTATATTTTACATATAAATGTAGGTAAATTATTTCACACACACACACACACACATATATATATATATAACAACAAAAAACATGCCTGATATACATAAAAATTCATGCAAAATAATTTACCTACATAATAAAGCAAACCCAAATATATGCAAAATAATATACCTACATAAAAAAATGTTATTATTTTATTCAATACTAGTTTACCTATTATTTGTACATGTAATAATAAAATGTGCTTAATTTTAATTTACCTATTAAAATGTGCCGAATAAATGTAATTGTATGGTACGCCCACTGCAGTTATCAAACGAGTCCTTATGTAGGTATATAAGATGTACCTACATAATGAAGAAATGTTATTTGATTCAAAATTAATTTACTTACAAAATAAAGCAATTGTACTTTATTAAAAATTAATTTACCTATTATTAGTACATATATCTTATAATAATAAAATGTGCCAAATATATGTAATAATACATGGAAAATAAATACCTACAAAATAAAAGAATGTTATTTGATTCAATATTAATTTACCTACAAAATATATGTTATTTGCTTATCATAAATTTAAATATAGGCAGATTAAATAGTTTAATATGTTTGATCATATATGTAGTACTATGCATGTATATGTGTATATATATATATGTGTGTGTGTGTGTGTGTGTGAACGTATAATAGTATTTTATATATACGTAAACTATATATGTGTGTGTTAGGGGTAATAATATGTGCAATAATTATATTTTCAATAAGGTGAGTAATAATATTTATTGATTTTATTTTGAATATTGTGGTACAAATTGTAAATATTTTGTAATAATAGGTCAATTATTTCTATACTTAGCAGTTGTTTTTAAATTTGGGTTTTATTTGGATGTTTATAACTAGGTAGATTTTTGTCTAAGAAATAAGAGTTGTAAAAGTCTATATCTAAAGAACCCTTGATTTTATAATGCAAATCATGTTTAAAGTTTCCAATGAATCAATTTCTAAGAAGCTGAAATTTAATAGATTGTAAATCTATCAAAATTGATGGAAATGCCGGATAGAATAAAAACCAAACTCCAGCCATACCCCACCAAAGCACGGCCTGCTTTTCACTTTTCACAAAAAACAAAAAATTGGTTCAACAATGAGCAGCAACTTGTGATTGTATTCGCACTGACCGACATTAATGATTAATCGCGCTGTAATGGAATTGCATTCACTCCGGACATTAGTGTCTACAACTTAGGGATCAAACAATTCGGACCACACAAATTAGAACCTACAATTTCTATTAACTCATTTCGCTGACTTACGTCAAACAAACCAACGACTTCGATTTCTTTGTCACACAATATGTGGCCCATATTGTTTGATCTCTAGGCTCTGAACACCAAGGTCCGGAGTGGATCCAATTCCGTAATGGAATATAGCAAATACTTTGCGATGCATCCACACTAGCTAGCTGAAGCCAAACTTGTGGTACTTTTGACTTTTTGGCATGTTTTTCCCATGTATCACACAGTATACTTGACTCTAGGGTCAACGAGCCATGCTTACATTTGCCATCTAATTACCTGAAATAATCACTAATTGTTAAACTTCTGAATATAAGATCAACATTTCTAATTAAGGGCAAGGGGAGAGATGATGAGGAATGTCTACGATCCCTTTTCTGTTTCTCATGAGTTTGATCACTAGTAGTGAAAGCAGTTCGTTACTTCGTCCATGACTGCCCAAACACTACCACCCTGGCCGAAGTATTCGAATCCGACCGCGATAGCTTCCAATATAATCTCGGTCAACTTCTCCAATCCCTTGCCTCGAACACCACACGTACTGACACCGCTGGCCGAAGCTCAACTGAAAAGGCCTACGGGCTGATTCTATGACACGCCCCGACCCTGATATTCTCTGAATACCAGGATAGACATGTGCTGGCCGACACCCGAGGGTGACGAAAGCCATTAATTGATACAAAAGCTAGGAATAAGAAATAAATACGGGTTATGAATTTAAAAACATTGAATTAACAATTTAGGAATGTGTTCAGAGCATACAACTAAACCTAGTCACTAACAAGAATTAAGATAAGATTGAATGAACAAGGAGTAGGTCCTACCCCGAGAGGACTCGAAGATGCTGCTGCGGAAGTGCCTTGATGCCGGGATTCTATGCCTCGTTTCTAAGACCTGAATGGGGGCGCAAAACAAGGGTGAGTGGACCAAGTTTATATACATACATAGTACGAAAACAATTATGAACATACTAACCCCCACAGTTTAATAATGAAAACTACTAGAATAATAAGTGATAAGCTTTTCAGAAAACTCTAGCATGCCATAAAACAATTCATATATCTCTCTGCAAAACAATCTCAGAAAATCATATCAGAAATCATATCAGGAATCGTAACAGAAATCGTATCAGGAAGCATAACACAAGTTGTGCTGCTAGTGAGTGCACTGAATAATAATACTCCCGGCCCAATGCCTGCACCTCAGTCTCTGTGCCCGTAGCCAGAGATATCTCCCTCCCGGCCCAATGCCTGTCTCCGTGTGCCTCAGCCTTTCGCTAGGGATTATTTCTCCCGGCCTCAATGCCAACACCAGATCCTCGCTCCAGGCGGCATAGTGTTCACTAGGTACGCACAAAACATAATTCATCTCTAAAATACAACTTCGTAGCATAAATTCATCGATCCTCTATACTACGAAAAGGTGTTCGAAAGTCATTTGAAACACATTCTTAGCATCCTATCGTCATCGATCAGATAGTCTACCAGAATGAGGGTTCTATAGAAAATACAATATAATGAAATTAGTTCAAAATATATATAATCAATCATAATCAAATCATCATGCTTCCTGTAAAGAATTCCTCAAATCAATAATTCTGCAAGGCATGCTATTAATTTATGCAATTCTATCAATAAAACATGCAATTTTCGAAGGTGGTCCACTCACAGATACTCCGAAGCAGCAGAATTGTGTGGAAAAAGATTAAGGAAGTCTCCACTAGCAACTTCACCTAAGCACGAAAATGTACAATTTAATAAACTACCCAAAAGATAGAATTTTAGGAAATGGAAATGGGTTTTGGGTTTGGGTAGGTTAGGAACAAGAGGGAGTTTTGGGCTTAAGCCTAAACCCATACTTATACACACACGGCACACACACCATACATTCACACACATACATACACAACACACACTGTACACTTCATACAGTACACAAACATACACAACACACACGTGCACCATACACCATCATAATTACTTACACACACACACACTTGCACGGACACCAACATGCCAAACACACACACACAGACAGCATGCATATATATATACAATCACACCCACGCACAGCATGCATATATATATATATATACAATCACACACACGCACAGTATGCATACTTATATATATATAAACACACACACACACACGGTTCACATACACACACACCTGCTCATACACATACACACACAGTACACCCACACTACACAAACACACACTCACGAACTCGCCGGAGTTCGTCGTTGGAACCGAACATGCATGCACGAGGGATGACAAGGGTTAGGGCTTGAATAAAGGGTTCTAAAACTTCACAAATATACATAAGAACTCACCTAGACGCACTGCGGCAGGTTTTGGGAAGAAATGGACCTCGAACTCGTCGGAGTTCGTCGTCGGAGCTAGATTATTGACACAGAGAAAAACTGAGATCAAAACCCTTGAGTTTTGTCATAAAAACAACATGCATAACCCAGAAATTTGAAGAAGGAACACAATCTTTACCTGGGTTCGAGTTTTAGAGCTTTGAAGCTCTCGGCTTCAATGGCAGAAAAACCCACGGTGCTCAGATGGCGCATGCAAGGGTACCATTGAGTTCGTTAGGTCTCAAGGATTCCAAATATATGGTTTTTGGGGTTTGATTTGTGAAGGAAGTGAGGTGAAAGTTAGAGAGAAGCTCTCGGAGCTTAGAGAGTGTGAGAAAGAGAGAGGAGAAACCGAAAGAAAGAGAGCACTGAGATTCTGAGATGAGTTTCGGGCAGAGATGAAAGGAAAGAGGGATCTGAGAGCTGCCACATGGCAGTTTAAGATCAATAGCCTTTCTAGATCAAGGGTTAGGATTAAAAGAGAATAAGGGACTAAATTGATAGAAAACAAATATGTTCTAGGGGAAAATAGAAATAGAATGAAAATATGGGGGTGGGGTTTAACATTCTATGTCATGGTGATGTCTCTGCCGGCGTTTGCAAAGAGCGTGGCCGTCACGAACGTGGAGGCAACACAACGCTGCCCTGATGGAAAAGAGGTTATCATATGGTACGACGAGTGCATGGTACGCTAATCAAATAAGACATTATTTTTCTCCATAAACATTTTGCATTCAGAAGGCGAGTGGTACGGGGATAATAAACCAACCGGATATAGCCAGGTAGTCGCAACTAGTGTGCATGAGCTAACCACTGGGGCTGCCAATAAAGGGTCAAATGAGACGGTGTACAGCCTTGCGCAATGCACGCAGGACCTCTCCGCTTCAGATTTCAAACGGTGTCTAGCAAAAGCTGCAGAAGAATTAGTTTCAATGGTATCCCAGGTGCGATCAATTGGACAGCCGCACAGCGTCCTCCCACGCCAGAGGCTCTTCCTCCTCCTAGTATTCTACTACAATATTCACGTTCACCACCCAACTCGGTGATGATACCTATAGGCAAAGTACCTTGTGCACATAAAAAAATTCATCATGCACTCTTCTCTACCACGAATATAAGGAAGAAACTCTATAATGATGAGCGTACTAATAACAGTCCTTTTGTTAATTCATTTTTTATATTTTTAAATCAAGATTTAGATATACGTAGGACCTAATAACTATAGTGTACATGTGGCAATCGGTTTACATGTGGTGATTGGTTGTTATAAGGTAGTTGTATGGATCAAGTTACTTAGAAATAGGTGGGATTGTAAGAAAGGGTAATATAGTAATTCTATAGTTAGTTCACTATGAAAGGAAATTGGTTAGGCATTTTGGAGATCGTCTTGTAATTCATTTCGTTGTATTTCAATAGAGCTTTTCCCTTTTCTCTTCTCTCTTACCGTTTCTCAGAAATCCTTCAAACTTTCATTATTCTCTACACTGTTATGATGGTATCATGGCCGGAATAGGTTCATCACCGGTTCCGATCCTGATTCTTCTGCTGCTATGATATCAAGAGGTGCTGCAAGGCAGCAACATTGGTACAACGGAGAGGTGCGATTTCTACTGCTGTGTTGGGTGATTATAGTGAAGGTTGCTGGGAATTGTTGGTTGCAAAGCTTCTTCTGGGTTGCTAGTTGTGTTTGCAATCATCTCAAGTGTTCTTGTTTTGTTATTCTAATTCATTACTTGAATTCGAAGGTTATAGTTGGCTTCTCAAGATGTTGATTTGGGATGTTTTGTTGGAACCCCAGTCCCACATCGGACAGAGGGAGAAGAGAAGAGTGCTTTAAATAGAAATACCCCTCTCTAACTAACATCGAGGCCTTTTGTGATAAAACCCCACACCTGAGGATTGTGCAGGTGGTTAAGTGGGGACAATATCGGTGTTGTTAGAGTGGGCCCTCGGCCCGTCGACCTGAAAATTTCCACATGGTATCAGAGCCAGGAGGTGGGCCCGTACTGCCACGTGATTGGGTGGGTCCCCGTTGGCCCCGCGTGATTGTCCACGTAGGCCAAAGATGCCACGTGTTTGGGTGGGTCCCCATTGGCCCCGCGTGATTGGGTGAGTCCCGACATGGCTCCATGTGGTTGCCGATGTGTGGAAATTCACATGTGACCCATAAGTGGGGTCTCACGTGCGGGGGAGTGTTGGAACCCCCAGTCCCACATCGGACAGAGGGAGAAGAGAAGAGTGCTTTAAATAGAAATACCCCTCTCTAACTAACATCGAGGCCTTTTGTGATAAAACCCCATACCTGAGGATTGTGCAGGTGGTTAAGTGGGGACAGTATCGGTGTTGTTAGAGTGGGCCCTCGGCCCGTCGACCTGAAAATTTCCACATGTTTTTTATTGATCTAGGATATTTCTGTTGATTTGGCTGAGTTTGATAATCTGCATATATTGATATGGATGTGTTAATGTATTGAGATAAGAAGTTTTGTAGTCAAGAAAGTGTCAATCTTTCAAGAAAGTGTCCTTCTTTCTAAATCAAGAACGTGTTTCTTCAAGAAAGTGTTAGCCTTGGTTTGGTACTGAGGTGATTCTAAAACAAATGGCTATAAAAAAAAGCTGGGAGCTTTTTTATGTTTGGTAAACATTTAGCTTCAGCTTGTTTTCACAGTTTTGGGTGAAAAAAAGCCAAAAACACAAAGCTGCAAAACCTAGCTTTGAAAAACCAGTTTTTTTTACATCTGTCTTACATAAAAGTTTATCAAACACTATAATACTGTTTTTTTTTTCATAAAAACTTTTACAAAAAAGTTTACCAAACACTCTGCTGCTTTATTTTACAGCTGCTTATTCTCACAGCACAGCGGAAGCAGTTTTTTTTCAAAGCACAACAATACCAAACCAACCCTTAGTCTTTCTTCTTAAGCTCGTGATGTCATTCTCTACATATAATTCGAATCATGATTAGGTTGTTGTTTGTGAAAATAGTCATGACTACTCCAAATTTTAAAATGGAAGGAGTACTAGGTATGCTTACTATAATGCTGAGAGATGATAATTTTGCCAAATGGGCACTTCAGTTTCAATCTGTTCTAAGAGGTTACAAATTGTTTGGTCACTTTGATGGCACAATTGTGTGTCCACCAAAATATGTTGTTAGCACTGAAGTTGGTGTGACAAAAGAAATCTCTGGGGCTTTCATTGATTGGGAGTCTACAAACATGGCATTGTTAAGCCTTTTACTTGCCACTTTGACTGATGAGGCAATGGAATATGTTCTTGGGTGTAGGAGTGCTCATGAAGCATGGACCAATCTTGTTGATAGGTATGCGTCTGTTTCAAAGTCTAGGGTTAATCATCTTAAGACAAAGTTGCATACAATTCAGAAGGGCACTGATTCTAATCTAAAGGGAATTAGATAGCAATTAACTGCAGCAGGTGAATCTGTATCTGATAATGACATCATGATTGCGGACTTGCTAGTCTACCTAAAGAATATGCAGTCATTCGAACTGTAATCTTGGCTAGGGAGTCTTCTATTACTATGAAGGAGTTTAGAGCACAACTTTTAGGGGCTGAGAAAGAAATTGAGGGAGAAATGAATGTGCTATCACAGAGTATGTCTGCAATGTTTGTTTAGGGTTCTAGTTCTAATTCTAGTTCTGCATCATCTTCTAGCTCCCAGAATCACAGTCATATACCTGCTAGTACAATTACTGCTGTGCCAGACAGTTCTTATGTTCCTTCTCAACTGCCTCAACAGTTTCCAGAACAATTTTATCATGTACATATTAAGTGGATAAGAATAAGTATTATAAGGGGGAAGAATAAGTATTCAGAAAAATGAACATGACATATTAATCGTTTTTGTTTTGATGAATGTGGAAGGTATGTGAAAATGAACATGACACATTATTGTTCTTACTGCAGGAAGAAGGAAACACCTCTCTACAATTATCATTGCTGTCGGGTGTGTTGGCATTGCTCTTCTAGTTGTCTCTCTAGTTCTTGTAGCATCGGGCTACTGCTTTCCAGGCAGACGAGAAAGAAAGAAGAATGATGAGGCTCTACAACATGAAAATGGCAAACAGCAAGGTAAGGGAAAAGAACTCGTGAAACCCAAAAGTTAGAATTGAAAATTTTGGATTTATTTTGAAGTCTCTGGCATATGGTCATAATTTTCTTTGCAATGCAAAAGATATGAGGACGGCTGAGTCCTTGCAATTTGATTTGGGAACTCTCGAAACTGCCACAAATAAGTTCTCCGAAGATAACAAGTTAGGCGAAGGTGGATTCGGTGCAGTTTTCAAGGTAATAACCCAACAAATATGTAATGCATTAGTTCATGAGTCATTCTATTAATCCGACATTGTACAGTATATATAAATTGCTTAGATCACAACAAATTCGTTGGATAAACTAAAGTACCTATACACCTTATCACAGGGAACGCTTATTAATGGACAAGAAATAGCAGTAAAGAGGCTGTCAAAAAGCTCCGGACAAGGTGTACAAGAATTTAAGAATGAGGTAGTATTGGTAGCCAAGCTTCAACACAGAAATCTTGTCAGGCTTTTAGGATTTTGCTTGGAAGGAGAAGAAACCTTACTTGTTTATGAAAATGTGGCCAACAAAAGCCTTGATTATTTTCTATTTGGTATGTGAACATCAATTGATGAATATACATATATGTTTGTGTCAGTAAATATAATACTTTGTAGTTCCTAACTTCATAAAGTACTACTTGAACTTGATAAATTTACAGAACATAAAAAACGAGAACAACTAGATTGGTTGAGCCGCACCATGATAATTGAAGGAATTGCTCGAGGAATTTTGTATCTCCATGAAGATTCGAGGCTTAGAGTTATACATCGTGATTTGAAAGCTAGCAACATTTTATTAGACAGCAACATGAACCCGAAAATATCAGATTTTGGGATGGCTAGAATGTTTGGAGTTGATGATCAAACTGAAGGAAATACCAAAAGAATTGTTGGCACTTAGTAAGTTTCAACTTATACAAATACCTCTATCCAATACTAGTAATCTTACATTCCAATTATTTGTTTCTACTTATGTACTTACCTCTATCTATAAATAGATAACAGAATAGTATATGTTTGTTATTTAAACTCTTATATATGTCAACCATTTTGGTCCTGCAATTAGTGGTTACATGGCTCCAGAATATGCTATGGAAGGGTTGTATTCAGTAAAATCGGATGTCTTCAGCTTCGGAGTACTTCTGCTTGAGATCATAATGGGGAGAAGGAACTTTTTAGGCTTTCATCGCACTAATTGTGGACCTACTCTTATAGGTTATGTAAGTGCTTTACTTGGAATACTTACACAAAATATTCGTGAGCTTAATTAATGTACTTATACATAATTGCAGGCTTGGCAATTATGGAATGAAACGAAAGGTTTGGAGTTGATGGATCCCTTGTTAAAAGATTCATGCAGTCCAAATGAATTTTTGAGGTACATCCACATTGGATTATCGTGTGTTCAAGAGGATGCAAACAACAGGCCAACCATGTCATCAATTGTTCATATGTTAAACAGTGAAGCTATTAGTCTTCCAGACCTGAGAAACCAGCCTTCTTTACAGGGAGATATGTTGATCACCATGATCAAGTGCGTGCTCAAGATTGCTCAGCCAATGGTTTCACGATTTCTATCGATGTTCCTCGTTGAGACCGATGACAATAAGGTTAATATCATTGGAAGCTCTTCCGTTAAAGGCACTTTGCTGCATTAGAGACAATTCTCTAATCTTTACAGCTTTTCTTTCACCTTGTCATTCTCTAAACTTATTTATGTCCTATTGTTGTGCATAGCGTGTACATGCTCATGCTCTGTGCATACTAAGTTTGTTATATTTCAGTCCTAAGATTAAGAAAATTGGTTATTTTTGGAAATTTTTCTATTTTTTTTTTATCTTGGTATAGATGAAGTCATACAACTCCCATAATTTTGAAATTCTAAAATAATCTGATTCCGAAAATACCAAATTTGGAATGAGTTTATGAAATTTTGAAATTTCGATTCCGAGATCGGAAATGATACGCGTTTCCAAAACTTTTTGGATTGTAATTGGACATAAATTTTTGATCTGATCCGACAAAAAAAAAAAAAGCCTAAGAGAGTGTTTGTGGCAACTCAGACAAACAAACTGTTAGTTAACTGTATCTTTTCTTTCTTTCGTTCTTTTTTTTTTTTGGAACTATACATTTTGTATTTCTTTCCAACATAGTTGATCACAACACAAGAGTGTGATACTTTTCAACATAGGGAATTTAATCAACATAGTTGGTCACAACGCAAGAGTGGGATACTTTTCAACACAGGGAATTTAATCAACACGGTTGGTCATTATACAAGAGTGGGATACTTTTCAACACAGGAACAAGAGTGGGAAACTCTTCAACACATGGAATTTATTGAGTCTTTACGAAGTCTATCATAAAATCAATTGACAATATAAGCTATACCTTAATCTCTTATAAGTTATTATAATGTTTATCTTTTGACGACGCATGACTTTTTTACTTTCATATTTCTATGCATAAAAAGAGAAAACAAGAGCTAGCTAGGAAATTTTAGTTTGTGGTCGCCCTTGTACAACATACATCGCTGTTCACTCTAGGGCCAACGACTTGGTGTTGGACTGTTGTCTGAGTCAAAGCCTTTATAATATCGTTGTATTCGTAAGTCAATGCATATATATAACAATTATCCATCGTTGTTTTCGTAAATTATAATATCGATACTTTCATAAAAAACTGATATTTAAAACCTTAGGAATCCTAATTAATTAAGAGCAAGGGGGGATGCTGATGAAGATGTCCATGATCATTTTGTTGTTTCTCTCCATGCTTAGCTTGCTCAGTTTGATCACCAGTAATGAAACTGGCCAATTTCTAGCCATTAGCTGCCCAAATAACACAACCATTTTCACCTCCGACACAGGCTGGTACTTTCCCTCCTTCCACGAGAGCTTCCAATCCAATCTCAACAAAGTCCTCAACACCCTTACCTCTCCCGCTGCCCATGACACCGGCTTTTACAACATCACAGCGGGCTTAAATTCTACGGAAAAGGCCTACGGCCTCTTTCTCTGCCAAGGATATGTCTCTACCGACGTTTGCAAAGATTGCGTGACTGCCGCAAGCATAATGGCAGCTCAACGCTGTCCCTCCCGAATAAATGTAATTGTATGGTACGACTACTGCATGCTACGCTACTCAAACGAGTCCTTATCCACCTTGTCCGAATCGCCGATCGTCAACTGGCGGAACACGCAGAACGCAACCGAATGGAATCGGTTCAACCAGGTGCTGGGGGAGAGTATGAACGAGGTGGTCACCGAGGCTACTAATACGGCCAACAAGTTTGCAACGAAACAGGCAAATATCAGTAGGTTTCTTTCTGTGTACAGCCTCGCACAGTGCACATGGGATCTGTCTGCAGTGGATTGCAACCGGTGTTTAAAGCTTGCCGTGGCGCTATTGCCGAGCTGTTGTGAAGGAAGTGAAGGGGGACGAGTTTTGATGCCGAGCTGTAACATTAGGTTTGAAATTTATCCCTTTTACCTCCAAAACGCCACCTCAGCACCGGGGCCTGCACCGAAGGCTCTTCCTCCTCCTGCACCTAAAGGTACCAATTGATTTTATAATGCAAATCATGTTCAAAGTTTCCAATGAATCAATTTCTAAGAAGCTGAAATTTAATAGATTGTAAATCGATCAAAATTGATGGAAATGCCGGATAGAATTAAAAACCAAACTCCAGCCATACCCCACCAAAGCACGGTTTGCTTTTCACCTTTTTGTGATTGTATTCGCACCGACCGACATTAATGATTAATCGCGCTGTAATGGAATTGGATCCACTCCGGACAATAGTGTCTGGAGCCTAGGGATCAAACAATCCGGATTACACAAATTGAAACCAACGGTTTTTATTAACTCATTTCATTGACCTACCTCACACAAACCAACGATTTCGATTTCTTTGTCACACAATGTGTGGTCCAGATTGTTTGATCTCTAGGTTCCGAACACCAAGGTCCGGAATGGATCCAATTCCGTAATGGAATATAGCACATACTTTGCGATGCATCCACACCAGGGCCGATCCTGAGTTTTTCGGTGCCCAGGACAAACGTTGAAAATATGCTTTTTTTTTTTTTAATACGAGAACATATATTAAAATAAATATCTAAAGAGAGTTGGAATCTAATCGAAGTTGGGAGACTAAACCCTCACACTCATATTATATTACTTTGAAGAAAAAAACATACAAGGGGACATAATACCTAAATGCCATTGCCAACCACCAAAAGCAAAATCATACTCAACCACTCCAAGCAAAACTCTCTTAAAATTTCAACCTTTAAGAAATCATCTTCTTCATTTATTGAAGTAAAATCATCAATTATATTATCATAATTCAAGTCTCCAAATGCATAAAATTGCCAATTTTATTTAGTCTTCCTTGAGTCATACTGGTTTTAATAATTTTAATTTTGAAAAATTTTCATTATCAAATTATAATTCCAATATATATTATAAAAAATACTAACCTATCATCCCAATATATATCAAAAAAATCATTAACATATCAATTATCATTGCACATATCGTTCCAACTATATAATAGAGAATTACTAATATGTATTATGAAAAATACCTAATATTATCAACCCAAGCTAGCAAAACCATGCCAATCTGAAATTCGTAGAAGAGGAGTTTTGCAATTTGCAATCGCCAATCGGGTTTTGCAGACGTCTCAAAATGCAGTCTCACATTTGGCTGCAAAATCGAGCCATAAATCCATTATCAAACCGCAATAAAAAATAAATCCATTAAAAAGAAAGAGGCCAAATCGGAGGAGAGGCCAGACCGCAATCATTCCAACAAACATATATTGTAAAAATTAGTAAATTAAACCCAATATATAGAATAATACCTCTCGTCCAAAAAAATATATATATAGAATAATACCTAATAATGACTCTATGATTTGTGAGGTGTCACGACGCGACTTCCGAGTTGCGAAGAAGGAACACAAAGAGAAGAGTCAAACTTAGAAGACGCGACTTCTGGGTTTGCAAATTTTTATTTATTTATTTATTTTCTTATATATCCCCATATTTGTTAGTATAGCAAATTTTGGTGCCCCATAAAATTCCGGACCCTGGACAGTTGCACCGTATGCCCTAGGCCAGGGCCAGGCCTGATCCACACTAGCTAGCTGAAGCCAAACTTGTAGTACTTTTGGCTTTGTGGCATGTTTTTCTCATGTATCACACAGTATGCTTGACTCCAGGGTCAACCAGCCATGCTTACAATTGCCATCTAATTACCCGAAATAATCACTAATTGTTACCTTATGAATATAAGATCAACATTTCTAATTAAGGGCAGGGGGGGGGGGGGAGATGATGAGGAATATGTCTACGATCCCCTTTCTGTTTCTCTTGAGTTTGATCACTAGTAGTGAAAGCAGTTGGTTACTTCGTCCATGACTGCCCAAACACTACCACTTTCACCCTGGCAGAAGTATTCGAATCCGACCCCGATAGCTTCCAATATAATCTCGGTCAACTTCTCCAATCCCTTGCCTCCAACGCCACACGTACTGTTGAGTTTTGGTTTTAAATTTTGTATTGTATAATTCATTCTCATTACAAGAGTGAACGGCAACTCTTATAGAGAGCCGAAAAGAAGATTACAAGAGGAAGGCTAACAGCCATACCTCACTACCAAATCAGTCCTAACAAGTGGACAAGATAAATATTAATAACAAGTAAAGAGGTTCCTAGAACCAAGGAAGAAAGATTAACAAAAGACCTAAATGAGTGACAAGGTATGGAAGATTAGAGTATGGTTGAGAAAATCACTTTAACCAATACTTGCTAGAGTGATGTTTACATCCATACATGTGACATATGCTTTACAACCATACTTGTGACCACCATACTTGTGACATATGCAAGCAACTAGCACTAGTATTCGGTTTGTTTCAATACGTACTAACACCAGCTTTTACACTGCCACCGCTGGCCGAAGCTCAACTAAAAAGGCCTACGGGATGTTTCTATGTCAAGTTGATGTCTTTACCGGCGAATGCAAAGAGCGTGGCCATCACAAATGTCACATCCCGACCCGGGGTCCACCACATCCTCGGCCCGCTCCACCACCGTAACACGATATTGTTCGCTTTGAGCAGACCACGTCCTCACGGTTTTGTTTTTTGGGAACTCACACGAGAACTTCCCAGTGGGTCACCCATCATGGGAGTGCTCTTGTGCGCTACTCGCTTAACTTTGGAGTTCCAATGGAACCCGAAGCCAGTGAGCTCCCAAAAGATCTCGTGCTAGGTAAGGATGGGAATATACATTTACGGATCACTCCCCTGGGCGATGTGGAATGTCACAATCCACCCACCTTAGGGGCCCGACGTCCTCGTCGGCACACTTCCGGCCAGAGATTGGCTCTGATACCAAATTGTCACATCCCGACCCGGGGTCCACCACATCCCGGGACCCGCTCCACCACCGTAGCACGATATTGTCCGCTTTGGGCCGACCACGCCCTCACGGTTTTGTTTTTGGGAACTCACATGAGAACTTCCCAGTGGGTCACCCATCATGGGAGTGTTCTTGTGCGCTACTGGCTTAACTTCGGAGTTCCAATGGAACCTGAAGCCAGTGAGCTCCCAAAAGGCCTCGTGCTAGGTAAGGATGAGAATATACATTTAAGGATCACTCCCTTGAGCGATGTGGGATGTCACAACAAACGTGGAGGCAGCACAACGCTGCCTTGATGGAAAAGAGGTTATCATACGGTACGACGAGTGCATGGTACGCTAATCAAATAAGACATTATTTTTCTCCATGAACATTTTGCATTCAGCGAGCGATTGGTACGGGGATAATAAACCAAGCAGATATAGCCAGGTAGTCACAACTAATGTGCATGAGCTAACCACTGGGGCTGCCAATAAAGGGTCAAATGAGACTGTGTGCAGCCTTGCGCAGTGCACGCAGGACCTCTCCGCTTCAGATTTCAAACGGTGTCTAGCAAAAGCTGCAGAAGAATAGTTTCAACGGTATCCCAGGGGGGACGATTTCTATATCCCAGTTGTAGTGTTCGGTTCGATGATGCCCTCTTTTAAGCGATCAATTGGACAGCCGCACAGCATCCTCCCACGCCAGAGGCTCTTCCTCCTCCTAGTACTCTACTACTATATTCACGTTCACCACCCAATGATGATACCTATAGGCAAAGTACCTTGTGCTTGTGCACATAAAAAAGTCATCATGCACTCTTCTCTTCTATGAATATGAGGAAGAAACTGTATACTGATGAGTGTACTAATAACAATTCTTTTGTTAATTTGTTTTTTATATTTTGAAATCAGGGTTTAGATATACGTAGGACCTACGATCTTATCGGCCAT